CGGTTCGGTACGCGGCGCATCAGATCAACCTTCACCCCAGGGTCTCCATGCCGGAGACCTCCCCAGCTTTGCTGTGGACGGGGAAGGTTGGCGATGCGTCTGCGTTCCGTGTCTGGGGATCTCGGGCGTTTGTCCGCGACTTGTCTGCGGACAAGCTGTCCCCTCGTGCTGCTCCTTGCGTCTTCCTTGGCTTCCCCCCTGACGCGCCAGGGTGGCAGTTCTACCACCCCACCTCTCGCCGTGTTCTGTCCTCCCAGGACGTCACGTTTGACGAGTCGGTCCCCTACTACCGCCTCTTCCCCTACCGCACTCCGTCCCTCCCCCCGCCACCGCTCTTCCTTGTGCCAGGTCCCCCCCCGGTAGACCCCCTCCCCCCTCAGGGTACTGCCCCTTCAGGTGTGTCCCAGGTAGACGCCGTCGAGCCTGTCGAGGTTACTGGTGACTCTGGTGCTGCTGAGGGTGCTGAGCCTGGGGGTGCTGACTCTGGGGGTGCTGAGCGTGTGGGTGCTACGCCTGGGGGTGCTGAGCCTGAGGGTGCTACTACTGGGGGTGCTGAGCCTGGGGGTGCTACTACTGGGGGTGCTGAGCCTGGGGGTGCTGAGCCTGGGGGTGCTACGCCTGGGGGTGCTGAGCCTGGGGGTGCTACGCCTGGAGGTGCTGAGCCTGGGGGTGCGGAGCCTGAGGGAGCTGGGCCTGCTCGTGTGGCGTCTGGCGGTGCTGAGCTTGGAGGTTCTCCGGGTGCTTCGTCTCGGCGGGAGCCACTCTCTCCACAGGAGCTGCGAGAGTGGTTTGCCCGACGCTGGAGGCGTGCTGCTGGAGCTGGAGGTTCTTCGACTGCTGCGGGTGCTGGTGCCGCGGGTCCCGGAGGTGCTCGTACTGGGAGTACTGGAGCTGCTGGGCCTGCGGGTACGCCTGGAGCTGGAGCTGCTGAGGGTGTTGGCGCTGAGGCTACTGCTGTCGGTCCTGGAGGCGGTCCTGCTGGGGGTGCTCCTGGTGCTGCTGGAGGTACTGGAGCTGGAGGTGCTGCTGGCGCTGGTGCTGCCGTTGGGGGTACTGGTGCTGTCCCTGCTGTGTCTGGAGTCGCCGCGCGGCCTCGGCCGTACTTCGTTCCGCTCCTTCAGCAGGTTCTTGGTCTCCCGCCTTCTACTGGTCCTCCTCCTCCCTTAGAGTGTCCACAGCCTGTCCCGTCCCAGTTACAGTTACAGCCGGCCTTCACACTGCCCGCTCCTTCTCCCTACACTGGTCCTACTGGAGGTCTGGCTGAGCGTCGTGAGCCTGCGTCTCGCCCTGCGTCGCCTGTCCGTCTTGCTCGCACTAGTGGCCGTGGTTCGCGTCAGCGTCCTCCTCCTGTCCCTGGCACGCACCGGATGTCTCTGCGTCCGTCCACTGCTCCTCTGCGTGCCCCTTTGCCTTCTCCTCCTGAGTCCTCTCTTCCTGCTCTTCCCGACCCGGAGTCGGACTCTCTTCGTGCTGCCAGTCCTACTGTCACGCGTCTCCTTGCTACTGTCGTCACTGACCCTTCCTTTGAGTCCACTGCTGCGTCTGCCCTAGTTGCTGAGCTCGTCGACTTTGCTGCTCGCTGTCGTCTAGACTACGCTGCTAGTCTTGTCGTTGCGTCTGAGTCTGTCTGTCCTCCGTCCGTCGGGGGTGAGTGTGCCCTTGGCACGGACGTCCTTGAGGACAGGCAGGAGGAGTTCCAGTGTTTGGCTGCTGCTTCACCTCATCTCGTGTCCGTACTGCTTACCCCTGAGGGAGACCCGGATGCACTTGACATCCCGACTCCGCGCTCTTACGCGGAGGCGATAGAGGGTCCCTACTCCTCTCAGTGGCAGGCAGCTATGGACACAGAGATGGCTTCCTGGAAGTCCACAGGCACCTACGTTGACGAGGTTCCCCCGCCTGGGGCGAACATCGTCAGTGGCATGTGGATTTTCAGGGTGAAGCGACCGCCGGGTTCTCCGCCTGTCTTCAAGGCACGTTACGTGGCTCGTGGCTTCAGTCAGTGGCAGGGAGTTGACTACTTTCAGACCTTCTCTCCCACCCCGAAGATGACCACTCTTCGGGTACTGCTGCACATAGCTGCTCACCGCGACTACGAGCTGCACTCTCTTGACTTCAGCACTGCTTTCTTGCAGGGCAGCCTGCACGAGGAGATCTGGCTGCGTCGCCCACCTGGCTTCACTGGGTCTTTTCCTCCTGGCACCCAGTGGAGCCTCCGGCGGCCAGTCTACGGTCTCCGCCAGGCACCGCGTGAGTGGCACGACACACTGAGGACTACACTTGCGGCTCTTGGGTTTGCTCCCTCTACTGCCGACCCGTCACTGTTTCTGCGCACCGACACTTCTTTGCCGCCGTTCTACATCCTCGTGTACGTCGACGACTTGGTCTTTGCCATAGCTGACACTGCTGGACTCGCCCACGTGAAGTCCGAGCTGCAGAAGAGACACACGTGCACAGACCTGGGTGAACTGCGCAGCTACCTTGGCTTGTAGATCACCCGGGACAGAGCACGCCGCACCATTACCCTGACTCAGTCACACATGGTGCAGCAGGTCCTTCAGCGCTTCGGCTTCACGTACTCCTCGCCTCAGGCCACTCCTCTGCCTACTCGCCACTCGCTCTCAGCTCTGCCTTCGGATGAGTCCGTAGAGTCGAGTGGCCCGTACCCAGAGCTTGTTGGCTGCCTCATGTACCTGATGACCTGCACACGACCTGACCTCGCATACCCTCTTAGCATTCTCGCACGCTATGTTGCTCCTGGGAGACACAGACCGGAGCACATGGCTGCAGCGAAGAGGGTGTTGCGTTACTTGTGCAGTACGTCGGGCATGGGGCTTGTGCTTGGAGGGCAGAGTCCAGTGGTCCTCACTGGGCACGCAGACGCTTCTTGGGCTGACGACCAGGCTACGCAGCGGTCGTCACAGGGTTACACCTTCAGCCTTGGTTCCGGCTCTGTTTCGTGGCGGGCTACCCGCTCGTCTTCTGTTCTCGGCTCCAGTTGTGAGGCTGAGATCTACGCCGGGGCCATGGCTGCACAGGAGCTTCGCTGGCTCACCTACCTGCTGACTGACCTCGGAGAGCCGCCTCGTTCTCCTCCAGTGCTGTACGTAGACAACAAGGCCATGCTGGCCTTATGTCGAGAGCAGAGACTGGAGCACAGAACGAAGCACATTGCTCTCCGCTACTTCCTTGCTCGTGAGCTACAGCAGCGTGGTCAGCTGCGGCTTGCGTACGTGGCCTCTCTGGCCAACACTGCTGATATCTTCACCAAGGCACTTGCGCCTTGTGATCATCAGCGCTTCTGTACTCAGCTGGGTCTTGTGCCTACCTTGAATCACTTGCTCACCCCTTGACCTTGTTTGTACTGTTGCATATATATATACACCTGCTCTTGCTTGTCTAGCCTTATATATATATGTAATCCTGCATGTGAACTGGCCTTGTGGCCTTGAACTTGTGCTCGGAATGTGTGGTGACTTTGTGATCCACCCTGAGCTTGCTTTGCTGTGCTTGACTGGCCTTGTGACCCCTTGTTCTCCCCCACTTTGCCTATGGGGGTGTGTCAGATTTATATGACATAGCTACTGTAGGCTATAGTGGGGTAGCACATATGGGGTACAGTTTTCTAGGGTTTACATTTGTACCCAACTTTCCCTTAGTCCATCCATTCTCGTTTCTATTCTAACACTTCCCCGTCACCCTCTCCTAGTCTGTGTAACTCCCCTTCGCTCGTTCGTTCGCTCGTTCGTTCGCTCGTTCGCTCATTCGTTCGTTCATTATGTTGCGTCACCTTTCCTTCCATTCTCTGTCCCTCTCTGGCCTTCCCACCTTTCTCCTCTCCCACCTTTCCTTAAAGGGACTGAGTGGTGTGGTCTAGTGCTTGGATTCATTCAATCAAATGAATGAAGGGCTTGGATTTACTGCTTCTGGTCTGTGCATGCTACCACCGACTTTTCGATATCTTTATGCGTTTGTTCTGCATGTGAACTGGTCGTTTGTTGGTGCGTGACTTATGCTTGGCTGTCTGCCCTGCACACCTCGTGTCACATGGATCACATTACAACATCACATAGTCACCATCTCGCATCATCAGCCATCCATCCCGATGGCATGAGATAAGGATGGAGCTAGGCGGTGGATGGATGGCTGATCGGGGTCACCCCGATGGCATGAGGTTATCATCAGCGCCATCCAGCCATCCATCCATCCATCCCACCCCGATGGCATGAGATCAGCTGGAGCTGGGCGGTCACATTTTCTGCTGATCGGGGTCAGCCATCCACAGATGTGAAGACGATGGCAAATGTGGTCAAAATCAGTTCCAACATCAAGGTGATTCAGGATGGAGCTGGGAGGTGGATGGATGGCTGATCGGGGTCAGCCATCCACAGATGTGAAGACGATGGCAAATGTGGTCAAGCAAATTAGTCACAACAACTTATCGGGTGATTCAACTGCTCTTCAAAACCTATCAGCCACTGTATGTTTCTGTATGTTTCTGTATGTTACTGTATGTTACTGTGAACACTATTCTTCCAGACATTTCACCGCCTCCCCTCCTTCTCCAACCCACGTTTCCCCTTCCTTGTTTTTTGGCCTATCTTTCATTCATGGTTTGCGTTGTTTCGACGCCCTCCCAGTGCCATCTTGCCTTGTCGTGTTGTCAGCAACAATGATCGTGAGTGAGGTGGCATTGGCATGGTCGTTTCCTATTCTTGGTGTGTTTGTCTTCGGGAGCATCTCCTCATCCATCCTTCTACCCTCATCCTTTCTCTACCCTCATCCCCCCTGTGCCCTCATCCCCCTGCGCGTTCATCCCCCCATCCCCCCACTCCTCCCCCTCCTCCCCTTTCCCCCCCAGAGGGCGAACGAGGCGATGCAGGGTGGGCGTGGTGATTGAGGCGAATGCGCGCATGGAGGGGGAGAGGGCCAGCAAGCAGCACGAGGTCGACTGTTGAGGCGCCTCAAAAGATGCAGGGCGTGCGTGGTGTTTGAAGCGAATGGGGATTGAATGCGCACAGGGAGGGGGAGAGGGCCAGCAAGCAGCACGAGATCGACTGGCTCAAACGCCACGCACGCCCTGCTGGGGGGATGAGGGCGCAGGGCTGGCGCGGCGTTTGAGGCGAATCCGCGAATGGAGGGTGAGAGCGCGAGCAAGCACCACGACATCGACTGTTGTGGCCCTTCAAAAGATGCAGGGCAAGCAGAGGAGGGGGAGAGGGCCAGGTGACTTTTGAGTCAACTCAAAAGTGACATTGACTGGCTCATGGAGGAGGAGCTTCAACGCACCCAGGTGTGATGCGATGCGGTGTGCAACGGTTGGGTGCGGTGGGGTGTGGCGGGATGAGATAAAGAAGGCCGACGTGTTAGAGGAGGCTGAGCCGAGAGAGGGGCAACGGAGAGGAGAGGATGGTTGGTGGAGTGCAGTGGGATGGGGTGGGATGAGAGGAGATGGGGAACATATGATGAGGTGGGGGAGGGGAGTGTAATTGGATGACCAAGGAGTGAGTCGTACCTTGTTCCCCTTTCCCTTCCCTTTTTGCCCTTCACCCTTCCCTCCCTCCTTTCCCCTTTGCCCGTCCCCCACTGCCCTTCCTCTTTTGCAATCCCCCTTTTTCGTTTCCCCCTCTGCCCTTCCTCTTTTGCGATCCCCCTTTTTCGTTTCCCCCTCTGCCCTTCCTCTTTTGCGGTCCCCCTTTCCCGCCCCTCTTTGCCCGTCCCCTTTAGCCTTCCCCTTTCGCCCTTTCTCCTTTGCCCGTCCCCCTTTGCTCCTCAAGCCCTCTTCCCTCTTCACCCTTTCTCCTTTGCCCTTCCACCTTCCTCCTCCCCTGTTTTCCCTTTTGCCCTCATCCCTTCGCCCTTTACCCCTGCTGTCTGCTGCCATATCAAAATTTTCGTCTTCTCTGCCCTCTTCTCTGCCCTATCTCACCCTCACCGCCCTTCCCGCCCTCACCCCTGCAACCACACCAGGCCCGTGTGAGCATGCTGGAGCAGCGGCTTTGTGCTGCATCTCCTCTTTTCCCACGCCCCCACCCCCACCCCCACTCCATACTCCCATTGCCTGCTCTCGCCCCTGTTACCGCTGCTGCTGCTGCTTCGCCCCCTCTCCGCCCTGCTTCTGCCACTCCCGCCGCTGCCGCTGCTGCTGCTGCTGCTGCTGCTGCTGCTGCTGGTGGTGAAAGTTTGCTTGGGGAAGAGAACACTGCCTCAGCTACAGGAGAATCAACCGCAGCAGGGGAGGAAAGGGGTGCTCTATCAACCACTGCTCTATCAACCACTGCTCTCTCAACCAGTGCTCTATCAACCACTGCTCTCTCAACCACTGCTCTCTCAACCACTGCTCTCTCAACCACTGCTCTCTCAACCAGTGCTCTATCAACCACTGCTCTCTCAACCACTGCTCTCTCAACCACTGCTCTCTCAACCACTGCTCTCTCAACCACTGCTCTCTCAACCACTGCTCTCTCAACCACTGCTCTCTCAACCACTGCACTCTCAACCACTGCACTCTCAACCACTGCTCTCTCAACCACTGGTCTCTCAACCACTGCTCTCTCAACCACTGCTCTCTCCACCACTGCTCTCTCAACCACTGCTCTCTCAACCACTGCTCTCTCAACCACTGCTCTCTCAACCACTGCTCTCTCAACCACTGCTCTCTCAACCACTGCTCTCTCAACCACTGCTCTCTCAACCACTGCTCTCTCAACCACTGCTCTCTCAACCACTGCTCTCTCAACCACTGCTCTCTCAACCACTGCTCTCTCAACCACTGCTCTCTCAACCACTGCTCTCTCAACCACTGCTCTCTCAACCACTGCTCTCTCAACCACTGCTCTCTCAACCACTGCTCTCTCAACCACTGCTCTCTCAACCACTGCTCTATCAACCACTGCTCTATCGACCACTGCTCTCTCCACCACTGCTCTCTCCACCACTGCTCTCTCAACCACTGCTCTCTCAACCACTGCTCTCTCAACCACTGCTCTCTCAACCACTGCTCTCTCAACCACTGCTCTCTCAACCACTGCTCTCTCAACCACTGCTCTCTCAACCACTGCTCTCTCAACCACTGCTCTCTCAACCACTGCTCTCTCAACCACTGCTCTCTCAACCACTGCTCTCTCAACCACTGCTCTCTCAACCACTGCTCTCTCAACCACTGCTCTCTCCACCACTGCTCTCTCCACCACTGCTCTCTCCACCACTGCTCTCTCAACCACTGCTCTCTCAACCACTGCTCTCTCAACCACTGCTCTCTCAACCACTGCTCTCTCAACCACTGCTCTCTCAACCACTGCTCTCTCAACCACTGCTCTCTCAACCACTGCTCTCTCAACCACTGCTCTCTCAACCACTGCTCTCTCAACCACTGCTCTCTCAACCACTGCTCTCTCAACCACTGCTCTCTCAACCACTGCTCTCTCAACCACCGCTCTCTCAACCACTGCTCTCTCAACCACTGCTCTATCAACCACTGCTCTCTCAACCACTGCTCTATCAACCACTGCTCTATCAACCACTGCTCTCTCAACCACTGCTCTATCAACCACTGCTCTCTCAACCACTGCTCTATCAACCACTGCTCTATCAACCACTGCTCTCAGCATGAGCATGAGCAGCAGATGCTGTGTGTGTGTGAGTGCTAGAGGGGCCTGAAGAGGCCAAGGAGTGACTTGCGTCTCGCCTGCACATGCAGCTGCAGCAGATGCAAGAGACGCTGCAGGTAATGCCACGGTAATGCTACGGCTGACTTGACTTGAAGATTCTAAAAACAATCAACGGCTGACTGACACCTTGCATGAGGAGATTGTCCCCTCATCCCTGTTCTTCCTTCGAAACACTTCTCATTCCGCACCTCCCCCACCCTCCACCCTCTCACCCCACCTCTCTTTCCTCCCCTCCTCTCCCTCCTCCCTCTTTTAAAAACTAGAAGAACAAGGTTCATGACACCATATCAAGGCCCTCAACCCCCCTGCACCCTCCCCCATATCCTGCAGAGCATGCTATGAGCGTGCATGTATGCGCTGCCGCAGGGAGAAGGTTTAGGGGTCCAGTTACACATGTAGTGTGAGAGGGGAGAGGGGCTAGTGCAAGAGGGAACGCGGGGAGAGGGACCGGTGCGATGAGGGGAAGTCATACTAGTGCAAGGTGGTTCAATTAATCCACTATTACGCGGTGAAGTCCAGTTCCTTCTAAACGCGGGGAGAGGGGCTAGTGCGAGAGGGAACGCGGGGAGAGGGACCGGTGCGAGAGGAAACGGTGGGAATGGGAACGCGGGGAGAGGGACCAGTGCGAGAGGAAACGGTGGGAGGGGGGACGCGGGGAGAGGGACCGGTGCGAGAGGAAACGGTGGGAGAGGGGACGGGGTTAGTGCGAACGGGGGGGGGGGAGCATCTGGGGGAACAGTCGACGGAGGGAGAAGGTACGAAAGTAACGCAAACAGAGGTACCGGGAACCAGCCAGTTAATAGGCCGCGTATAAGGAGGCGGAGAGTAGATCTAGTGCCGGACACCGCCCGCAACGGGACCGGGGAGGGGGGCGAGGGGCCGAGCGATGAGGATGACGACGACGACGACGATGATGATGACGATGATTCTGGCGACGGGTGGAATGACGATGACAAAAACTACCTAGCTAACTCGTTGCCCGCGCTCGATGAGGAAGAAGCGGACGACAACGAACGGGTGCGGGGAACGCTAACTGACAACGAGGTTCCGACCGCGGATTGGAACAGGCTTGGTGTTGACGATACCCCTGCCGCGAAAAGTGAGATGTGCGTGGGAATTCTCTACGGTCTCTCTGAGGCCACCCTGAAAAAATACCACGGTTGGGCCAACGAGTACAAGCGGTTCATGGCGCACGAGTTACCGAAAATTGAGGAGGGGAGGTTCGGGGAGGAGGCCGCGTTGAAGAACAAGAACCCCGACGAGATTGGGGCCGCGCTTGGACAGAACATGGGTGGTAGCTGGAAGAGGGCAAAGGGCGACGAGCAGTGGTTTCACGGCCCCGAGACTAATCCGTGGTGCTTACGCAAATACGTGACCTTCCTCGCGAACGAGACGGTCGTGCAGGCGGACAGGATGGCGACACTCGAGCGGGCCGGCAAGACATTGAAGAAGAGACGCCAGTGCACCCCTGCAATGCTGATGGGCCATCTCAAGGCACTGAACCTGCTCGTCAAGCTCGATGGGGCCATCTTCCGGAAACCCGTTCTGAACCTGCTGCGCGACTTGGCGGAGTGTCGCATCCGGGTCCGCGTTCAAGTCCGCAACCAGTACAAGCGTTTTATCGCGTCAGTATGTGCAATCTGGTAACGCGTGCGCGACCCTCGCAGCCGCGTCAACTAACACGGGTACTATCATGATACGGATTGCGCAGGGAACACATGGATCGCCATCGGGGCACGGCCCGGGTTCACGTACATTCGGCATATTCGTGCCACCCAATAAGCTCAATCAAGGTGAGGTGCGAGAGGGACAATATACGAGCCAAGCGGGTCATCATGTTAGTGCATCGAGGAGGGATGTATTAGCGGAAGCGTAATAGTGGATTAATTGAACCACCTTGCACTAGTATGCGAGAACAAGATGAGCTGATTATAGCAAAAAGATACAAGGGTTTTATATGATTACAAGGAATACGAAAGGTTTAACTGTAACTGCTGTTGCGGTTCGATACAGCGGCGACTCGGGTAAGTGCTCAATAGCGAGTCAGATATGTGTCCTTGCTGTCGTGCTGCTTTTCGGCGAGTCAAAGGTAGCTGACCTTTGACCTTCGCCTAACCTCTTGCTGTCCTCTTCTTGTCAACCGCTTTGGTTGACTCGCCGTTACTTCGTTGTAGTTCGCTTCGCTTTACGTTGTAGTGTTTGACATTTCAGAAGCGCAAACTAGATGTTTCCAACATTAGTCACCGTAATTGAAAGTTTGAAATATTTCACTGCACCATGATGACACATGCACTCTGCCTGGTAGGCTCTGATGGCACAGCAACCAGAGAATGGGTTCAGTTCAGGCGTTCGTTCTAGGTTCCAATCACAGCTGCAGGAACCTATGCACAGACACAGAATGTTATAATTTGGGAGCTAAAGATGGGCATCACAGACAAAAAGAAGCACATTTACATATGTTACCGATTCACACGTCACCATCAGTGCAACTAAAGCTCGACTTTTCTGTAGCTACCATCAGGTGCCCTGGTGTGTAGGCAGCAGAAGGACTAATTTCCGCTACTGTGTATACCTGTTAGAGCTACGGTAACTACAGTCGGTATAGTAATATGTAACACACCACTCTAATGTCAACCTCTGATATTTCATTGGACCTCGGCACGAGGAAACCAGCTCTTTCTTCAAGTTGGGTTACGGGCAGGACTGGTCGGTGGTAACCAGCACGTTAGCACCTCCCAGCACAACACCCTTGACCTGCAGTGCCGCCTCCACGCTTGAGAGCTCATTTGCAGACACTGTCCGCTGCCTTGCCAGCACCAACACCTTGGCCTGTAGGAGGGTAGAAGTGGTAGGAGATACAAGGAGAGACAACAGGTGGCCAGGTGGTTGGTGAGCCAGGGGGGTTGGTGAGCAGGGGGTCAAAGATTGATTAGGGGTGAGTTGCAGAAAGCATAAGCACAAGTAGCATGTGGCATTAAATGAAACATCACACACCAGACTTGGCCCCGAGCCAGATGATTCCATACCAGACCTCACCTGTCCTTCCGTCGCAGCGAGCTTGGCTCGGTTGGCCGCAGAGCACCCGTACAGCACAACCAAATCAAATCCCGGCGTGGCATGCACCACGGCGTATCTCACAGCAGCATCCCCTCCAAACTTCATCGCGACGCTGCCGTCGCCCTGCTTCCCCTGCACCAGGGTGCCGCGCACGCTCACGGCCTGGGTGAGGTTGACGGGTGACTCGAAGAGCGTGGCGGCGGCGGGAGTGGCGAGGGAGGAGAGGAGGCCGATCTTGGCTGCGGACACGGCTAGCGTGCCCACAGCGGACGCCTGCCGCTGCAGGGCGAGCGTGGCGTTTAGCAGCTGAAGAGGGGGGTTGGGGGAAGGAGGGGAGAAAGAAACGGGGCAGGGGAGGGGAGGGCAGGGGAGGGGAGGGCAGGATGGGGTGTTTTAAGAATCATTAAACCACGCCCAGGAGTGGCGGCGGCGGGAGTGGCGAGGGAGGAGAGGAGGCCGATCTTGGCCGCGGAGACTGCTAGCGTGCCCACAGCGGACGCCTGCCGCTGCAGGGCGAGTGTGGCGTTTAGCAACTGAAGAGGGGGACAGAGGAGGGAAAGGGACAGGGAAGGGATGACATTTATTTAGTCGACTCTAAAGTGCTGGTGCGTGGCGGGGGACACCGCTAGAGTGCTCAGAGAGGACGCCTGTCGCTGCAGGGCGAGCGTGGGGGTGAGCGGCAATGGAGATGGTTGCTTCTGAGGCGCCGCAAAAGTGCCCAGAGACGCGTCGGTGGGGGGAAGGTCGTACCCGGAGTCGGTGGGGGGAAGGTCGTACCCGGAGTCGGTTCTTTTTGGATGCAGAAGACGCCTGCATGTTCATAACGCCCAACCGCATCTGCTCAGCCTGCTTCAAGATCCTCCCTCTCGACCGTTAGATCGCGTGCACCGACCGTCGGATCGCCTCCGTTGTATTCCCGATCCTGTTTCGCAGCGTGCTGAGGCTCGGCACCCGGTCGACCTGATTCACCGGCGCGAGATCCGTCTGGATGCGCGCGAGCCTCGCGTGAATCGCGCCAGCTTGCGCAGAGATCTGGCCTAGCGACGCGGAGATGACGGAGAGGCTGGTGGACGTCAGGCCGGCAGTTTTGCCGTCCAAATCGGCGGCCGGCAGGCCGAGTTTCGCCTGGTCGACGAGCGACGCGTACGAGAGCTCCGTGGGGAGTTTCTGACCGGCGATGGCGGAGCACACTCCGCGCAAGTTGCGCGCCGAGTGGAGGGAGGCTGAGGCGATGGTGCCGACCTGCGTTGCGCGGACGGGTCCCACCGCCTCGACGCCTCGCCGCGTGACGCTGCGGATATTCCGGGAGAGAGCGTGATGGGAGAAGGGAAGATGAGATGGGAAGTGGATGGGGAAGCGGAGAGGGGAAGGAAACGGGCAAGGGGAGTGGTGAAGGGGAAGGAGAGGGAAGGGGAAAGGAGGCGGGTAGATTGCGGAATCGGACTCCCGAGTTGCTTGCGGAGTGGGGGCACGAGAGTCTGGAAAATTGGGGTAAGGGAAGGGGTTGCAATGCATGAAGGATAGTGGGATGGCCGAGGAGCATGGACGCAAATTGCATACCGCATGGCGTTGAGGCCGTTCTGCTTGGGCGCGGCGTCGAACTCGAAGGCGGTGCACGCCGCGCCGAGCTCCGCCGTGTACTTGTGCGCCGAAGACGCCGCCACCTCGTACCACCGCCCCTTCAGCCGCGCCACGTTCAGGCTGCTGATTGGCTTCACGGCGGGGCACTTGCTCGGGTTGCGCGCGGGGTACTGCTTGCCGAACGCGAGATTGTCGCCGGCAGCTGCGGCTGTGGCGGCGAAGGTGGTTGCTGCTAGGGCGGTCGCGAGAAATAGTAGGGAAAGGTTTGCCCGAGGCTGAGTTGTTCGAGCAGCCATCGCTAAGTGCACGAGAGTTTTGGCCAGGGGAAACAGTTACTCGAGCCTTAAAGCCCAAGACCTGAATTACTCAACGGAAGTCAACGCTAAAAAACTAGGTTCGGAAGAGGTTCGGTTTGGTTGCGAAACCCTTTCACTCGCGAAACCAGTTTGCGACAAAGTTGTGTCGCTTGGAAGAAGACCTGTGATGAATGGTGTGCTTTTCACAACCAGAGTTGAGCGTGCCTACCAAACTGTGCACACTTTGACAATCCTAGCAGCAGACTAAAACTAGGCATAATATAGAATACGTGTAGGCAGGGCGTAGCCGTTGACTCTAGAGCTTACAAGGCGCGATGCGATGGTGTGTGGTGTGGAATGTGAGTTCGAAACGTAAGGATATTGAGCGGCGTGCGATGAGATATGGTGTAAAAATGCAGGTTTCGCATAACCCTCACGTTCGGCCAAGCGTAACCATCCCTCGCCCTCGCTTTCCTTCACCCGGGTCCCACGCTTCCTCTGTCCATCGCCCGCGTCGTCGCCTTCGCTTCCGAAGCCCATCGCATTCGAGGCCCCATCCCGTCGCCTTCGCTTCCCCCGCCCGTCGCCGCCTTCGCTTTCGGATGACCGTTGCCTTCTCTTATCCCGCCCGTCGCCTTCGCTTCTCCCCCCCGTCGCCTTCGATTTCCCCGCGCGTCGCCTTCGCTTCCCCCGCGCGGAGCCTTCGCTTCCCCCGCGCGGAGCCTTCGCTTCCCCCGCGCGGAGCCTTCGCTTCCCCCGCACGGAGCCTTCGCTTCCCCTCGCGGAGCCTTCGCTTCCCCCGCGCGGAGCCTTCGCTTCCCCCGCGCGGAACCTTCGCTTCCCCGCGCGGAGCCTTCGCTTCCCCCGCGCGGAGCCTTCGCTTCCCCCGCGCGGAGCCTTCGCTTCCCCGCGCGGAGCCTTCGCTTCCCCCGCGCGGAGCCTTCGCTTCCCCCGCACGGAGCTTGGGGAGGGAGGAGCGGGCAGTGATGCTGGACAGCTTCCCCGAGGACGAGGCGCGTCTGGGGGGGGACAGGCGGGGGAGGGAGGGGGAGAGGGAGGGCACGCGGTGGGGGGCCGGGGAGTGTTGGAGCGGAGTGAGAGCTACGACTCTCTGCTGTCAGACATCAGCCGCGTCAGCTCCCTCGCTGAGAGGCGGAGGAGGAGGCGGAGGGGGAGGGGGAGGGGGAGTGGGAGGCGCGCTAGCCATGCCCTTGCTCGTGGGCATGGGCACGGGTGGCGGTGGTGCGATGGAGGGTGCCTCGGGAGCGTACTAGGCGACGGAGGGGAGCAGCAGCATGGGCGCCGGTGGTGCGTCGTCGGGTGCGCTCCTTGCAGTGCAAGGCATGGGGGGCAGCAGCAGCCCCATGGGCGGTCAGCAGCAGGGGGGGATTTCCAGCAGCACGGGAGGGTATTATAACCCTCCGCCCGGCTCTATCCCCCCCTCCTCTGACTCGGCGGTCGCGCTGGCGCCTGCAAGGGCCAGGCTGGTGTTCTCTCAATCCACCTTCTCCCCGCCCTCTCCTGCCTTCACCATTGGCGCCTCGCCCCCGCCTCCTGCACTCACTCTCACTGCTGCGCCTGCTGCTCCTGCTGCCGCCGCTGCTCCCGTTTCTCCAGCTGCAGGCACAGGTGCCGGAGGCAGTGCTGCTGCTGGTGCGTCCGCCCTGCGCAGCCCGGTGGGTCTGGCAGCCTCCCTGGCACCAGCGTCACAGCGCTGCTCCTCGCGACGCCCCTCTGCGCAAGGTGCCTCCTCTGACTCGGCGCGCAAGGGAGCCCATGTGCCCGCATCTGCGAGTGCTGGCGGTGCTGGGGACGTGCTGAGGGAGCCGCTCTTGACACGGCAGCAGGAGGAGGAGGAGGAGGGGGAGGGAGAAAGGCGCGCAGCTGGCGCAGCAGAAGTAGCAGCAGTTGTAACTCCTAGAGCAACAGCAACAGCCCGAGCAGCAGCACCACCACCACCATCCGCACTGCCTTTCGCTCCACAGCTATACATGCCCTTCTGTACCTCCAACCTCCAGCCCTTGCTTATTCGCCATACCCACTCTTCCCTCCCCGTTCTATCACAGAACCATGCTTGTACAGGTGCCCAGCACCATGGGTCCCAACAGGAGTGGGATGGAAAGTTACCACCTTCCAGATTTGTGCATTGTGCCTGTAGTCCACTGGTGACAACTGTAAGGAAGAAAATCTCTTGCTTTGTTGCATTTCATTGTCGTGCTCACGTACATGGCTGCTCCGAGGCCCAAAGTGTTGTATCATGAGAAGCATCCAACATACATGGCATGGCTATTTGTCATACCACTATTATCAAAGAGTGAAGGCATCACAGCTAGATACATGGCAGACCTGCACAAACACGAACCACAAAATCTAATGTGCCAAGAGTCGAAGCAGCGGGGAAGGATACAAAACAATGACAATGCAAGGGCAGGCAGGCAACAAGAAACAAGCCCCTAGAATATACAAACAAGGTAGGAGTGTATAGGCGTGGCAGGGTAGAAGGGTGCGGAGGAATGGTTGACGAGGGGAAGTGAGGAGGCTGAGAGGAAGGGAGGATGGCAGCGAGGGACGCAGGGAACAAGGAATATGAGGAGGGAGAAATGAGCAAGGGAGACAAGGAGGAAGGGCGGAAGAGAGGATGAGATGAAGGGAAGGAGGAAAGGGGAAAGAGAGGGGAGAAAGACACTGAAGCAGAGAGTAGGGCAGAGGGTGGAAGAGAGGAAGAAAGGAAGGGAGGAAGGGAGGACAGGAGGAAGGGAGGGGGGAGGGAAGAGAGGGAGGATGGGAGGATGAGAAAAAAGGAGGGTGAGACGAAGGGAGGATGAGAAAAAAGGAGGGTGAGACGAAGGGTAGGGAGGACGACCCCATACCCAGCGCCCAGGCGCCATACATCTCTGCGTTTAGTGTGGGCGAGAAGCAAGGGAGAAGGGAGAATGTGAGAGAATGAGAAGGGTGCAAGTGTGGGGTGGTAACCATGGACGACGGTAGGAGTGGTGAAAGTAGAATAGGGGGAGAGAGAGAGGCGATGTGTGACGAAGAGGGTGAACGTGATAGGCAGGGAAGTGATGACGACGGCGGAGTGTAGGGGAGGGTGGGAGGAAGCGAGGGCGACGGTGGGAGGAAGCGAGGGCGACGGTGGGAGGAAGCGAGGGCGACGGTGGGAGGAAGCGAGGGCGACGGTGGGAGGAAGCGAGGGCGACGGTGGGAGGAAGCGAGGGCGACGGTGGGAGGAAGCGAGGGCGACGGTGGGAGGAGCGAGGGCGACGGTGGGAGGAAGCGAGGGCGACGGTGGGAGGAAGCGAGGGCGACGGTGGGAGGAAGCGAGGGCGACGGTGGGAGGAAGCGAGGGCGACGGTGGGAGGAAGCGAGGGCGACGGTGGGAGGAAGCGAGGGCGACGGTGGGAGGAAGCGAGGGCGACGGTGGGAGGAAGCGAGGGCGACGGTGGGAGGAAGCGAGGGCGACGGTGGGAGGAAGCGAGGGCGACGGTGGGAGGAAGCGAGGGCGACGGTGGGAGGAAGCGAGGGCGACGGTGGGAGGAAGCGAGGGCGACGGTGGGAGGAAGCGAGGGCGACGGTGGGAGGAAGCGAGGGCGACGGTGGGAGGAAGCGAGGGCGACGGTGGGAGGAAGCGAGGGCGACGGTGGGAGGAAGCGAGGGCGACGGTGGGAGGAAGCGAGGGCGACGGTGGGAGGAAGCGAAGGCGACGGTTGGAGGAAGCGAGGGCGACGGTGGGAGGAAGCGAGGGCGACGGTGGGAGGAAGCGAAAGCGACGGGAGGGGGAGCGTGGTCAACGACGGAGTAAAGTGTGAGCGACAGCGGGAGGAAGCGAGGGCGACGGTGGGGGGAAGCGTGGGGGACGGCGACGTCGACGAGGGGAAGCGTGGGTGGCAGGGTGTGACGTCGACTAGGAAGCGCGGGAGGGGAATATAGCTGAGGCAAACATAGGGCGCATGCGCGGGAAATGACCGCGATCGACCGTTTGATTACCTATTATCGAGCTCAGAGAGGAGATGCATGCGCCGCAAACTGTCGTTTGCGCGGTCGCGCAGGGTTTCGACGACGACGCTGAGTAAAAAGCGGCGCCATCGCATAGAATCTGTTTGGTGTTTTTTTTTTTTCCGGTGGATTGGGCTCCAGCTCTATTGGCTTTCTGCTCTACCTAGGAGTTTCACGTGGCTACTATGTGGTCGAGCATGACCTGAATTACAACAATTTCCAATCTGTACACAGCTTGCCTTGCCCTACTCCTTCAGGAGGGAGCGGTTGGGACTCTCGCCAACCAATTTTGGGCTGCTCTACGACTCTCTGCTGTTTTGCGGGGCGTCATTTGGTAACCAGAGAGGCTCGGGAAGTCAACTATGGGCTCGGAAGGCAAACTGTGCACAGTTTGCCTTCCTTTTTTTGTAATTCAGGTCTTGGGTTTTAAGAGTGATGTGGGGCCGGGAATAGGGGCAGCCTGAGTTGGATTTCGAGAAGGTTTTGCGTTTCCACGTTTCTTGTGGCGAAGTTGGTGTGAAACGAACTGGCTGCGGCAAGGTTTTGAAGCAGCGAGTGCAGCGCGCATTTGATTTTGAATGTGCGAGAAATTTCCGAGCCGCATGTGAAGTTTCACATTTCAGTTGCGCGCGCCCCACATTGTCGGTGTGGTGCTCTCGGTGTGGGTGGGTGGGCAGGGGCGGAGGCAGGCAGGCACTACACAAGGGAGCTGACGAGGCGCCTCACTCATGGGGTGGTGGGGGCACGTACTAGCGCTTGGGCAGGTGGGCTGACAAAGGTCGTGGCAGCGCAGAAAGCAATAATAAAATTTCTCAGAAAGGGTCAACCGACGGCTATCACGACTGGGTGGTGGTGTCGGCGATAAAAAAATCATGAAAAAAACACGTTCCAAGCCATGTGACTCTCATCTCGCCGTCTAATTTGATGAGTTTGCAATTGGTCGCACCTCGTTTTGGAGACTGCTGAGAAACTCCACAAGTGTGGACTCACTTCAGTGTTATTGTAAAACATACTATCTGAACATTTGTATTCGATCAGAGTATACAGATGCGTTATTGTGGAAGCTACAATATGATATAACATGAATATGAATGGATATCCAGACTGATATAAATTTAATATTGTTTTTATTCAATTGAATATTTGGTAGGAAATGGCTGAAAAATCTGTACAGGCTTATTACATTGCAGATGAGAAATCTCATCAGTTAACAGATAATGGATTATGTTTCAGAAGGTGCACCACTCATGGGCTTACACTTCAATACAAGGTAGCCGGCTCCAACGTTGACGCGGCTTCGTCTATCTCCAAGGCTGACGACATCCACGAGCTTCGTAAACGTGCGTAACAGGTGATTTAATTGGTTGGAATTTGAGTCGCAAATGAATTTCTGGTATCTTGTTCGGGTGGTTGGGACATGTGACCCCACGACCCGTGATTGACCGGCCCCCTTGTGTGACTGTAAAGAAAAGAATTCGCGGTTCGCAGTCTTGTTGCCCCCGACTCGGAATCTCAATCCCCACCCCTCTTCATGCTCAATGTCGATTCGCCATTGCCGCATGCTCTAGCACCACCCCTCCCCTACCTCTCGTCTCCCTTCAGTTCACTCCACCTAGCCCAGTGTTGCCCAACACCCGAGACACACACCACACTCGGGGAAACTAGAAGGCAAACCTTCTCATTTGCTTCGGACTGAGCGACTCGGACACATTGGCCAATCGCAGGAGGGCATTAGCGCCCCTCCTCCCTCCTTACGCATGCTCATTGCCCCGATGCGTAGCTAACGCAAGACGACTTTGCGCCACCAATACGTCGACTTGACCCCGACTAATCCGACAACCATCAGCCGTCCATCCCACAACACACGTCTATGTCGATGATCTCGTTCTCGCCTCGCAGGTCCTTCTGAACGAACTGACTGGCTCAATAGACCCCAAGACCGTCTGATCTGAACTGAATCACGTTGGAATGAAACAGGTCACATGTACCGAATGCTTGGGCACTCCCTATGCCATCTTGAAAGTTATCCAAATTCTTAGTAGACCGATTTATCCGCAGATTGGTAAAATCAGCGCCTCGCGCAGCGCCATTAGTAGATATCGGCTTCACACGACCGGCACGAAGACCTAGGACAGGAGAGCGGCCGGCGGTAGTTGCACAGCATCAGTATGGCAACCTGAAAATTAGCCTTTGTAGTTTCAACAAGCATCGAGCGCCGTCAGGTGAGGCGATGGATCGCTTCGCCTCCGTTTCGCGCATCCCTGGGCCGGCTAGCGTCTCGGAGCGAAGCAGCGGAACGAGTGGGGCCGGAAGTAGTTTCACGGCTGGTACGAGTGGATCGAATGGAACGAACGGAGCGAATGGAACGAATGGTACTGCAGATGCCAGTAGCGCTAGCGGAAAGGTTAGTCTTAAAATCAGCACTGCTGCCGCTGAGGGTCTCAGCAGCGGAGCTGCGCGGTCGGCAGCAGCTTCTGGTAAAAACGCTCCTCGATTTAAGTACAAGCGCACACCGTCACCACGCGCCTTGCGGGACGGCTCCCCCCGAAGCCGCCGCCCCGCTTCCCCTCGACGCGCCTCCCCTAAGGGCCCTCCGCGCACCCTAGGTGCGGCGGAGAAATGGGCGGCGGCGCTGGCGCAAGAGCGCATGCAACAGGGAGCGGTTTCCCATTCGGTTGATTCTGGGTTTCTTTCGGAGCCCGAGGGTGGGGGAATGCGCGCAGCGTTGCGCGCACGGGCGCATGGGGGAAGCGCTGGCGTTGCAGGCGCAGCCGCAATCCGCGCAATGACGGCGCAGCGTTTTGCGACAGAAGCCGCGCAGCTACGCGGGTTGGAGCAGGCGCTGGCGCGGGCGGGCTCCTCCGCGGCGGTCGTCAGCGCAAATGGCGCGAAAGCGTCGGCTACTGGGGGTGAACAAAAGGCCGCGGGTTCAAGTGTCACGACTGCAGCGAAAGGCAGCAATCTGATGACGCAACTGCTCCATTCAAGCACCCTCGCGTCTATCACTGCGGCAACAGCCATGGGAGGGGCAGGTTCGTCGAATCAAACGAGCCAGCTTTCCAAGCCTGTAGCGGCTACAGTCTACCACCTCCGCACGCACCCCGCGGGGGGCCCTGCGCTACAGATATCCCCGCTCTTCCTTGCGTACCTCGAAGCTTCCAAGAAGCTTCACGGGTACAGCGTGTTCGAGCTCTCGTGTCAGCTATCATCCGTCCACCTCTGGCCGCAACCGGCGGCGCAGTTCAAGGGGGTCGCAATGCGCCTGCTGCACGCGGGGGGAGCTCCGCAACAACGCTCCGCCGCGCGGCCGGCGGGGGGAAAAGGCGCGGACAGGGAGGCGCTGCAGCGGAGTCCGCTGCTGCAGTTTTACGTGTTCTGCCGTCAGATGCTCCTCGATCTCCTCGCCTCCTCCGCCACTGCGCTCGACGTTTGCCCCCTGGCACGCGCTGAGGCGGCTGACGTGGCTGCTGGGCTGAATGCGAATGCGAGTGCGAAGGCGGCGTTTTCGGGCATTGCGCTGTCTTTCGCGCGCAAGCTGTCGGACCTGCACTGCCTCCAAGCCGCCATGGGCGTCTGTTCTCGCTGCCGGAAAGTCTCCGCTCCTCGCGGTGATGCTGCGTGCGTTTGTGCATCTGACAGCGGGAATGACGGCGTGTCCCCTCCGCAACTCGCGGAGAAGTGGCTGGCGCTCTGCCGTGGACGAGAGGAGGCGGAAGGCCCGGCGAGAATAGCGGCGGATGGGGGAGGGGGAAGTAACGGCACAAGCAGGAAAAGCGCGGGACAGGCTGCTATAGGCTCGTGGGAGAGCGAGGGCGCGGAGATGTTGGAGGTGGTGGCTCGAGTAATCACAGCCGTCCGATCTCAGGAGATCATCAGCAAGTTTAAAGAGCGCATGGCGGAGATCGACGGGGCGGAGAGCGCAGGCGGAGGGGAAATGGGTAGTGCCCGATCGGCGGAGGCGCAGGCGGTAAAAGAGGCGGAAGAGCGCGTGGCGGGAGCGCTGGAGCGCGCATGGGTGGGGGGGTGGGAGGAGAGCGAGGGGGGCCAGGGGGAGGGCGGAGGCGGAAGCGGAAACCTGGTGCCCGTGATCGTGCCGTGCCACGCCCATACTGCTGCTTCCGCCTCTTCCGTTTCTTCCTCCTCCGCGTCGTCCGCCGCTTCGCTGCAGCTTCAGCTCGTGATGCTGCCCTTCGTGCTGCCCCTCTCTAAGCGCGAGCAGCGCCAACCGCAGCAGCAGCTCTCTCACACGAACATCCGCGCTCAACCAGCCAAAAGCGGCCACGTGTTCCCGTCGCAGCCGCGTGACGTGGCGCGCTGGCTCGTGCACATGGCATGCGTCGACGCCTCGTTGCGCCACATGGCAGCTGCTGACGTAGACCGCGTGCTTTGGGCGCTGGAGCGGGGCCTCGTCCACGTGTCAGGCTCGGTCGCGAACCGCTCAGGCTCGACAACAGCCTCAGCAGCAGGTTCGGCAGGGAGGCTCGGAGAGCGAGAGAGGCTGCTGAGGATGCAGCAGCAGGTGACGGCTCTGGTAACTCTGGTGCTGGAGCCGCAAATCCCGGCGTCCTTGGCGCCTGCTGCTGCGGGCGGTGCTACTGGTGGTGGCGGTCGGAAGGCGATAGAAGCGGCAAGCCTTGAAAGTCGCAATTCTGCGGGCAATGCTTCGTCTGCTCAGGCTGCTGCCGTTGCCGTTGGCCCCGTCGCTGCTGCAGACGCCGCTGCCCCTGCTTCTTCCCCTGCTGGTCCTCCTGTCGCCGCCGCCGCCGCCGCCGCTGCCGCCACTGGTGCTCGTCGCGACTCTGACGCTTCCGCCGCCACCGCGGCTGCGGTGGTGCTTGTCCCGGCCGAAAGTGACTGTAACGGCGGTTCAGAAGCAGCGGGGAAGGAGGAAGAAACAAGCAGTGGCGCGCAGTTTGGCATGCCGGCGGCGCTGCTGCCGTCCAAACTCGCTGCCTTCGCTGATATCGGCCTGCCGGCCGCCTCTCTTGCTGCCGGCGCGTTTGGTGATATTGGCCTCCCCGCTACCTCCGCTGCTGCGAGTGATGAGGCGGAGAGTGAAGAGTGGCATGACGCGGAGGAAGAGGGGGAGCAGGCGGAAGAAGAAAGGGGAGAGCAGGGGGGGATAAAGGTGGGAGAAGCGGAGGGGGAAGGGGAGGCGCAGGAGGAGGGGAAAGTGCAGGGGAAGAATGAGGAAGAGGTGACCGTGGAGAGCAAGAGTGGCAACGATGAGGCGCGGTCCAACGCGGCGCAAGGCGATGCTGGCGCTCAGAAGTCCCTCGTTTGCGTTCCAGAAGAGGGGGGGGTTGGCGCGGAGGAGGAGAGAGCAGAGGGAGTCGAGGCGGAGAGAAAGGAGGAGATTGAGAAGGTGAGAGACGAGGGAGTCGAGCTGGAAAAGGTGGAGGAGAGAAAGGAGAGTGAGAAGGTGGTAAAGGAGGAGGAGGTGGAGGAGGTGGAGGAGGAGAGAAGGGAGGGAGAGAAGAGGATTGAAGAGGAGGGAGGGGGCGAGCAAGAAGAGGTGCTGCTGGCGCAACTGGCGGCGCTGATGCCGGCGGAAGGGACGTGCGACCGAAGCAGCGGGCAGACAGGCGGAGCTGCATCGGGGAGTTGTTCGCAGGCAGGCGGCGGAAAGACTATGGCAGCGCAGATAGAGGGGGAGATTCCGGAGGAGAAGCGGGGAGCGACGAAGGCGGCGGAAGATGAGGGCGGAGAGGGGGGAAAGCGCGGAGGGGCGCGCAAGTGGATGGACGTGGGGGACATGGTTGCGCTGTGCGAGAGTATGCTGCAGGGGGAGGGCGGAGCGGGGGGGAACGGGGAGGGGAAGGGGGAGGGGGAGAAGGTAGAGGAGCGGCAGGCTCGCAGTGGTGAGGCGGCATCAAAGAGCGATGGAGGGAGCGGGAGTGGAAGTGGGAACGGGGGCTGCAGTGATCAAGGGTCGGAAGGCAGTGTGACTGCAGAGGGGCAAGACTCCTTGCCTGCGCTGCTCGCTTGCGCCTCCCCTCCCATGTCTCCGCGCGCACGGCCCGCTGTCCAATCGTCCTCCGCCACGTCATCACCCGCCTTCCGCGCGCAGTTGCCGTCAGCGGCGCTGGAGTGGCGCGGAAAGACCGCCGCATCTTCCGCGTATGCTTCCCTCAAGGCTGCGCCAGCATCACTATCTGCGCTCGCTTCCCCCAAGGCTGCGCCAACCGCGTTCGTGTCTCCGGCGCTGCGCGCAGCTGCTGCCGCCAGAGCCGCCGCCGCCGCCGCCACCGCTGCCGTCGCCCGCAGCATGGATGGGCGCGCGGGGAGCGCGGGGGGCGTGGGGAGCGGGGAGAGCAGCACACCCACGGCAATGCCAGCATCGTCATCGTCAGCGGTGCACTCGCCGCTGCTGTCGCGCATGCAGCAGCGCGTGAGGGGGGAGGGAGCAGCAGCGCACGGCTCTCCGGATGCCGCCAGGATGCGCGCTGCGGAGCTTCTTCCGCCGCTGGACCTCCGCTGGTCACATGACGTCACCACTCCTGCTGCTGCTACTGCTGGCGGTGCCGCTGCTTCTGCCGCCGCTAGTGCTGGTAACGCTGGTGCATTGGGAAAGGGGGATGCGGGGTTGAGAACGAGTGGCGGGTGGCAGCGGCAGGGGGAATCGACGGCGGCGAAGGCGGCGGTGGTGCGCGCGGAGGCGGCTGCGGCGGCGGTGACGGCGCTGGTGGCGCGGATCGCGCAGGAGCAGGAGCTCATGCGGCGATCCGTGGAGAAAGAGGAGGAGCGGGCGAGGGAGAGGGAGGAAGAGAGGGCGAGGGAGAGGGAGAGGGAGGAAGACGAAGAGAGGTTGAAGGAGAGGAAGAAGGAGAAGGAGGAGAAGGCAAGGGGGAGTGTGAAATCGAGGGAAGGTGGGAAGGAGACAGGGAGAGCGAAGGGGAGAGAGGGCGCAGGCGGAAGGGTGTTTGGGAAGAAGGCGGGGGCAGGGGGGCATGGGGCGGGGATCGGCGGAACTGCAGCGTCGTTTGACTTCTCCCTGGTGTTCGGGGGGATGGACGGGGGGCGGGGGAAGGGGGAGAAGGCGGAGAAGCGGGAAGGGGAGGCGGAAGGGAAGGGGGAGAGAAAGAAGGGGCAAGTGTCTCGGTCTGTTGACTGGGCAGAGATCGGGAGGATTGAGAGGGGAGAGGTGGTTGTGGAGAGGGAAGGGAGTGAGGGTGTGGAGTGGGAGGAGGCTGGGGAGGGGAGTGAGAGCATTGGAGTACTGCTTTTCGAGGAGGGAAGCGCAGAGGAGGAAGTGAGAGAGAAAGAGGAGAGGGAGAAGGAGGAGAGACTCGCAGCAGTGGCAGCGGCTGCTAGAGCAGCAGCAGAGGCGGCAGCAAAGGTGGCCGTCGCAGGCAGCACTAATGGCAGTGCAGCAGAGCTGATGGAGGGATGGGTGGAGGTGGAGGAGGAAGAGGAGGGTTCGTCGTGCCAGTCGTGCACACAGTCGTCGTCACACTCGTCGGAGGACCGAGTGACTGTGAGGAGCTATGAGAGCTATGAGCGGGCTGATGCTGCTGATACCAGCAGCAGCAGCGGTGCCAGCACCAGTGACGACAGCAGTGGCGGCAGCAGCGGTGGCAGCAGTGGCGGCAGTGGCAGTTACAGCGGCAGTGGTGCGAGCAGCAGCAGTGGTTCCGGGAGTGGAAGCAAGAGTGGGGAGGGGAGTGTGAGCGAGAGTGGGAGTGAGATAGAGCTTGAATCGCCTGGCGGGGCTGGCAAGAACCTGGCTCCCAGCGTGGCAGTAGCAGCAACACCAGGGGTCAACGCTGCCACTGGCAACAGCAGCAGCACTGGCAAGGCCAAGGCGAAAGAGCAGAAGAGTCAGAAGAGTGAGCAGACTGCCACTCCCGGCTCCAAGCCTGAAGGGGTGAAGCTCACCAGGTCCGGTAGCGGCAGCAGGTCCGGCAACCGCAGCAGGTCCGGAAGCAAGACCAGCAACGGTGGCAGCAGGTCCGGCAGCGGTTCGGCTGGCACGGCACGGAGTGGTGGGGCTACCAGTGGGAGCAAGAGCAAGAGTAAGAGCAAAGGCACCACTAGCAGCACCAGAACCACCGCCAAAAGCAGCAGTGGGAAGAGCAGCAGAGCAGCAAAGCCGGCAGTGGCAGGGACGAAGGGAGGCAAACCCAGCGCGCCTCTAGCGCCTGTACTGGACCCTGTCACGCAGAGCCTAGTGGAACCCGTGATTCAGGCCGTGGGGGTTGTTGCAGCGGCAGCTGGCACAGCGGCAGCGGGAGCTGGATCAGGGGTAGGAGACGCAGCGGCAGCAGGAGAAGGTGGGGAGCAGTTTGGCATGCCGGTGGCTCTGCTGCCGTGCATGCACTCGGAATTCACTACCATTGGCCTGCCTTCCGCCCCTGCTGGGACTGCTGATGCTGCTCAGCCTTGTGCGATTGCACTGGCTGCTGCCCCTGTGGTGACTTCAGCAGGTGCTGTGAATGCTGCCCCTGTGGTGACTTCAGCAGGTGCTGTGAATGCTGCCCCTGTGGTGACTTCAGCAGGTGCTGTGAATGCTGCCCCTGTGGTGACTTCAGCAGGTGCTGTGAATGCTGCCCCTGTGGTGACTTCAGCAGGTGCTGTGAATGCTGCCCCTGTGGTGACTTCAGCAGGTGCTGTGAATGCTGCCCCTTCCACCCCACCGCCTGCTTCCAAGGCCACTCCTGACAAGGTCCCTTCTCTTCCTCTTCCTGCCACTCCTGACAAGGTCCCTTCTCTTCCTCTTCCTGCCACTCCTCCTGCTTCGGCTCCTGCTGCTGCTGTTACCGCTGCCACTGTTGCTGTTGCTGGTGGTGATGACACCGCTGGCAGCGCAGGCAGCAGAGAGAAAGCATCACAGGACGAAGTGAAGGTGGTGCGAGGGGCAAGCCAACAGCAGCAGGGTGAGGTGGAGAGTGCAGGAGCAGAGAAGGAGGTTCCAAATGCAGCAGTCACAGCAGACACAGCCCAGCAATCCAGTACAGGAGCAGCCCAGCAGATGCAGGGTCTGAGCATGCTGGATCGACTCAAGGCACAGGCACGTGCCGAGGCAGTGGCAGCAGCAGCGGCCGGGAGGAAGGGCAGGAGCAACAGCAACAGCAACAGCAGCAGCAGTGGCAGCGGCAGCAGCAGCGGCAGCGGCAGTGGGAGTGGGAGTAGCAGTAGCGGCAGTGGTGGCAGCAGCAGCAGTAGCGCGAGTGAGAGTGGCAGTGACCCGTCTGCTGATGGGGTTTCCTTGACCGCTGCTGGTAAATCCGTCTCTCTCCCTGTGTTGCGCAACCCTCTTGCATTCACTGCCACCACGGCTGCCTCTGGAGCAGTACCAGCAGTGGTTGCAGCAGCAGCGACCGCTCCCAAGGTCCGCAAGGGGGCTCTCAAGAAGCCTGGGAGTCCTTCCCGCTTTGCTCGGCGTCACAGTGAGCAGCAACCACAGCAGCCGCAGGGCCAGCAGCAAGGTCAGCAGCAGCAGGAGCAGGAGGCAGAGGGGAGGAGGCTCATCCCACGTGTGTCCTTTGCAGCAGTGGCGCTGCTGCTGGTGCCGGGGGTGGGCGTGGAGCAGGTAGCAGTGCGCATGCATACAGACGACCACCGCGCCCCTCTCATCAGCCGCAGCGGCGTCCCTGCCCGCTCCACCTCGCCTGGCAGAGGCTCACCCTCCCCCAGTAAAACCCACCCTTCCTCCTCTTCTTCCTCCTCCTCCCCATCCCCCGGTAGAGGCTCTGCTTCTGCAGCGTTCTCAGGCTTCTCTCCTTCCCCTGCGTCTGTTAAGAGTGGGATGATTTCGCCCAGAGGATTGATTTCGGGCAGGGCAGGGGCAGGCATGGTGTCTCCAGGGCGGAAGAATGTTGCCTCCCCGGGCAGGGAGCTTTTGTCTCCGGGCAGGGGCAGCAGGGGCGGGAGTCGGGAAGCTGGTGGTGGTGGTGGTGACGGCGGTGGTTGGAGTGACCATGAGTCAGAGGGCTGCGATGAAGCAGGTGAGATGCATGGTGGTGTGCTCATGCCCGCCTGTGTACACATGCTCCTGGCTTGGGTTGCACAGGAGCATAATGCTCATGCCGCTCGCATTGTTTTTAGCTATCATCACCACTCCTCCACCTCCACTGGCCCTCTAACCCACTCTCCCTGTTCCCCCCTCTTTCTCTCCTCCTGTCCGTCCCCCCCTCCCTCTCTCCCCAACACAGCCCCCAGGGAGCACAGAGCGCCCACCCCGGCACGTCCCCGGCGCTCCGTCTCCCAGACCTCCCTCTCTTCAGATGGCCCACTCGTTCGCTCCGCCTCCACACCCTCTGCTGCAGCATCCACTGCTGCTGTTCCCACTGCTGCCTCTGCCTCTGCTACCGCCTCGCCTGCTGCTGCGTGCACGCCATGCGTCACCACAGCCTCGTCCATGCGGCATCGCATGAGGGACTACGACCAGTCACGCATCGACCGCCTCAGAGACGGTGTGCCCGTGGCACGTGATTCTCCACAAGGTGGCATGCCCCTTGTCCGCGACTCCTCTCTGCCTCTGCCTCTCGTTCGTGACTCCTCCCTCCCGGCTCGCCTCTCGCACCACCAGCCAACCCAGCAGCAGCAGCAGCAGCAGGGGGCAGGAGGAATCCACCAGGTGCCAGCGCCTATTCCTGAGGACGAGGAGGTTCTCCCCCTGCGATCCCGACGCAGCTCCAAGTCCCCATCGCACACCTCCTCCCACCTCTCTCCTCACCTCTCCTCCCACCTCACAGCACAGGCAGGTGCCACTCCCCACCACCCCCGCTCCGCTGTTCCCTCTGCCAAGGCCTCCCCGGCCCAGAGCAGCAGCAAGGGATCCCCTGCTCTCCCCTCAGCTTCCTCTTCCAGACTCTCCTACTCCACCCCGCCGTCACCTGCACGGTTTGGCCTTGTCCCTCCGTCGCCCACGCACTCCCTCGTCTCCTCCACGTTCGCTCGAATCCCCGCGTCTCCCGGCCGGGATCTGTTCGGGGGGTCAGCTTTCAGCAAGGAGCGAAAGGTGGATCAAGGCGCAGAGGGAGTGGGAAAGCTTTCAAAGGTGCCCGAGGATCCGGGAGAGAAGGCAGGAGGGGAGAAGGTGAAGGATTTGAAGCACAAGTGGAGGTTTCCCAGCATGCTGCTCCGAGTGGGCGGTGGGAAGGCGTGATTCGGAGGTGCTTGAGATGTGACTCGTCTAGGTGAGCTCTCTCCAGCCCTTGCTGTCTTGCAGTGGGTTTTCTTTCCTTATGTTTGTACATTTTTCAATATTTGCTTGTCCCTTGCTCCATTCTGATGGTACTGGTGATTTTGATGCCTCAGAGGGCGTCAAACCTGGATGCAAGACTTGATGGAAGATTGGCGCTGTAGTTAGCTCTTCGGTGGCTCGTCTTTAGCTAGCTATTTGGTAATAACTTCTTTAAAGACTACAAATTTTACTTTGTGGATGTGTAGACTTGTTTTGCTAACTTTTGGCTTGGTAGGGTTATAGGGCCTGAGATTCGCTAAACATTTGCTTAGCTGATCTTGTTGGTATATTTTGTAGAGCTAGCTGCTTGATTGGAGGCCCAAAGTTAGTGGTAAGTTTCTAATTTCATCCCCTTTTCTAGTTACCGTACTACCCCGGATAGTAGCGCATATGCGCTTATAATTAAATCAGTTTTTTTAAGGGGGGCGCTTGTAATTGAATATTGGCCATAAGCGCCGGCGCTTATATAACGACAAATACAGAAATACAACTTAATCGCACCAAATTGTGCATTTCAGTCTCGTAAGTTGAATCGAATCGAAATTTTACAGGGTCCAGAATCAGAATCGCGCGAGGGCGATTTTCTGACGGTGCACAGAGCTTTGGCACGTCATTTTGCCCGCGTGCCAACTCATACTGACTGGACGCGCAACCAGTAGGTCCTCGAAAGTTAAACAAAGTGAAAATGGGGGTGTTGACTCGATAGAAATTTGAAATTCGTTACTGTTTTAATCAGCATCGAAAAATAAAATTTGCATGCGCTTATAATATGTCAGTGTTTTACAGGGGGGGCGCTTATAATCGAGTTCCGGCCATAAGCGCCATGCTCCAGATAGAAGCGCCGGCGCCTTAAATCGGATGGCGTCTATATCCGGGGCCATACGGTATCTCCGTTTGCATTGGTATGGTAACTAGTGTGGTAACTTATTGTGGAACAGGTGTTCTGGCTAAGTTGCATTGCGGTGCAAGTTCTTGAACTCTGCACTTACCACACTAGTGCAGTGGTGAACAAGCTAACATTGAAAGCCAAGAGAGGCGCCACTGCCATGCCAAATACCATAGGCTTATGGCAAGCGACAAAAACTGGATATACTGTACCAGAGACTCTTTTAAGTAAATGCACACTCAGAGTACAGAAATTCCTTCTGTAACCCCTTCCACCCCCCCAAAAACGCGTCCTTCCTACGCTGCACCTTCTACCCACAACTGCATCTCTTTCCGCACATCAGCAGCTGCAAAGTCTGAAACCCGGATGCTGCTGCTCCCCCCAAGGAACGCAAACACTGCTGCAGCAGGGACCACAGGCCCACGCATCATCTTCTGCTGAGCCGAGCCAACGGTCAATGGCCCAAACATTTGGTGCTCGGCTGCGGCCGGGAACGCTGCAAGCTGAACAGGATGAACACTGTGCTCTGAAAGCACATGGGGATTCTGAGGGCCAAACGTTCCGTGCTTGGGTGCAGTTGGGAACGGTGCAAGCTGAGATGGAGGAACAATGCGCATTGTAGGCACATGTGAGTTTCGAGAGCCAAACGTCCCCATGCCAAGAGGATCCTGCTGCTGCTGCTGCCACTGCTGCGGCACCAATCCTACCTCTTCCACTTCCTCAGACGCTTCAGCACGCAGAGGAGGGGAGTGCTGCGCGCTGCGATTCATGTCATTCCTCATGTAACGTGTGTGCTGGGACACGTAACCCGGGCTGCTTGTATTGAATCCTGTGCTGTATGAATGGTAGCTCGTGCCACAAGTGGCTGAAAATTCACTGCTCCATGAACGCAACTCCTCCAATGCAGCCATTATCTCAGGGTCCACATGAGCACAGGCTTTAACGCGCGCTAGGTCGCACGCTTGGTCACAGGCTTGGGGACAGGCTTGGTCGCAGGCTTGGTCACACGCTTGGGCACAGGCTTGATCACAGGATTGAGCAAGAGCTTGGGCAGTGGCACGTGGGGCAGGCAGTAGTGCATCCATGGCAAAGAAAGGTCTCCTCTGCCCACTCACGCGCGTGTGAAGAGTGGTGGTTGGTGGCGGCTGTGAGGCATGCCCAGTTGGTGACATGTGCGTCAAATTGAATGTCGTCATGGCAGAGGACACTGGTGCATCCATCACACAGGCTGGGCGCTTCTGTCCACTCATGCGCGTGTGAAGAGCGGTGGCCGTTAGAGGTGGCACCAGCACATATTGGTGAGCCGGAAAGCCAGGAGCATCAGATATAGCAGCACCCAGCACAGCAGCATGCGGCAGCACAGACCCCAGAAGTTCTCCCAGTCTCGCCCCTGAAGGGCCGTGCACTGACCCTAACTCCCCGTTGCAACGGAAACCAAGGAAGAAATTCTCCCCATTGCTCCTCACACCACGTGCGGTCTGCTCCTCCTCATTCACTTCCCCGTCAAAATATTCAGGCAAAAGTGAGAGCCCAGCGAGGGTGGTAGTACTGCAATAAAGTGAGAGCTCTTGGAGCTCTTGCTTCGTAGGCGAGACGATTGCTCGCAGCAGCGAGTCAATCTCATCCGTCGGATCTTCCGAGTCCTCGCCATCCAATCAAAGGCTGTGATCTTCTTCCTGCATCGTACACCCGAGAGCCCCAAGCAATGATTCCAGCAGCACCGGCGGCAGCACCAGGAGCAGCATCACCAGTAGCATCAGAGACACTCACATCCACGCTCTCATTCTGCAATGCCGGCACCCGGATGTTCAGAGCCCCACAGGAATCAAAACATGCACCACAATTATTCGCTCCGGCATTCAGACCACCGCCACTGGATTCGGCACGTCGACTGGGCGCAGAGAAGCCAACCGCACCAGGTACATTCGCGAGGTTGAAATGTCGTTCGGTCGCATGGCTGGTAGGAAGGTCTTCAGGGCTGTAAGTATGCCTCTTGTTGGGCGGTTGGCGGGTTGTCACTTGATCGTTAGGGCGGCAAGTAGGGTGGTTGTTGACACACTTGGTGGGTTGGTTAAAGGGGAAGATGTGGTGTGTGGGCAGACGGCAGATGGGAGCCAAGGGGTGGCGGGGAGGCGCGGGGTGGTTGTGGAGCATGCAGCGGTAGGTGACTTGCATGGCGTCGGTGAAGAGCGGTTCGTTGCGGTTGGGACAGATGATGTCAAGAGTCTTCTTGGCCGGGCAGCGCTGGATGGCCTTGGTGTGATGGCACCTGTGACGGCGGAGGAGGGGGGAGGGAGAGGGGAGGGAGGAGGGAGGGAGGGGGGAGGGAGGGGGCAGGGAGAGAAGGGGGAGAGGAGCACGGGTGAGACGTGAAGCACGAAAGCAGCCCAGCACGGGTGCGAGACGTGAATTCACGGACACTGATGGACACACGAAGCTGACCCACGCAGTCAACAGGAGTCCAAGCAATTAAATAGAAGTCAACGCGGGTCAACGGGAGTCAACGTGAGTCAACAAAACTGACCTGATGGCGTTGGAGCCTTTTACTTGCTTCTGGCCGTATTTGAGCCAGCTGTGCCCATCGCACCCCACCACTCGCGACACCATCGCCTCCCACCCGCGCCGCCGCACCAACTCCTGCTCGCACGCCTCTCGGCTGGCCGACTCATTTTCAGAGGGTTGTCGGCTAGCCGCCGAATGCTCAGAGAGCTGACGGCTATGCCGCGTCTCCTACGGAGGACACTCCAAGAGCCGACTCGTGCCTAACTCTGAAGCGATAGCCATTGTGGCAGACGTTAGTCACTGTTGTTGCCCCAGGAAATGCCGGTTAGGTTGTAATAGTGCAGACATTAACAGTAATAGTGCTGGTAAATGGGGGTGCAAGGCTTGTCTAATCACAACTTGATCGACCAATATAGTAGTACTGCTATTCTTGTTACTGTAAGTAAAGCACTAGTAGTGGCACTAGTAGCAGTCGTCGTACTACTACTCTTTGGTAGGAGTGTTGACAGTGATTTTTCTCGTTGAAAGAACGTTAATTTTTATGTCTGGCGTGAGAAGGAGAATAAGATTTTGTAGACTGCGGGACATGCGCCACCCCCCATTGCTCACGTGCTTGAGTACAGTACAGACGTTGTTGATAAGGGAGGCCATTCGTGATAGGGAGGCCATGCAACTCGCATAGGTTGCCTGCGAAGCAACTCGCTTAGGCTGCCTGCACCGTGAAGGAGAATCCCGCTCTTGTTCATTTGCCAGCACTGCAGTGTACGACACGTGCTAATCTCCGACTTGTGGCAAGCTTAGCGGCCAGCCGGACTCGCCAGTCCGGACTAAAGAAATTTGTCGGATGCTATTGGAAGTCAGACTCCTTCACTAGGTTTGTGGAGTCTTGTCGTCGTGACTCGCTCAAGAAGCAGAGCCCCACCCCTCGCAGAATATAGAGGGGAAGAGGAGGGAGGGGGAACGGAAGAAGGAAGGGAGGACGGGGAAGCAACTTGAGGAGCTCGACTCACCCGTCAAAGGATACAAACCTCTTGGTGTAAATTCTCTTAGGCTTGGGTTGGGTACCGCCACCTGGCATAGACTTTGGGCCGAAGTCTGTCTGAGTCATTGAGTGTAGCAATCAACTCCAATAAGTGTTTGTCGCACGTGCTTCATTCTTACTGTACGCACGCGCAGCGGCGCGTTGCTGGAAACACGATTCGCGTCCAGTCTAGTGGTCGCCGCCGCTGTCTTGTGTTGTGTGTAGAACCTTCCTCGTCCTTTCACGGGATGCTGTCTGTACTGATAAGCAGTCTGATAGGCAGGTCGAGCAAGCTGCAATAACACAAACGACGCTTATGTCGCATCCGCACACTCTTGTGCAGTCTTGCCAGGAATGAGTTGGACGGTAATTGTGCTGTGCGGACGACATTAGTATACCCTGCCCACTAATGTTGTCCGCACAATCTCAGGCCACTAGTGGGCAGATACGAGTGCCATACTCAGCAGTAGGTGGGCCTAAAAGAGCAATTTGTCAAGGTCAACATGTGCGCTGTCAGAAACCAATGGAGACTGTCAGAAACCAATGGAGACTGTCAGAAACCAATGGAGACTGTCAGAAACCAATGGAGACTGTCAGAAACCAATGGAGACTGGCAGAAACCAATGGAGACTGGCAGAAAATCCAGAATTTCCATTTCATGCCGCTTCCACCTCATCCTCTTCACGTACTGTAATTGGCCAAAAACACGTGTAGCCTTACAGCCTGATTGGACAGCGACCCCCGTTCCGTGTATTTCTTCCAGGAAATTCCAACGAAAGTTCATGGCTTGGAACAAATCCCCCACTGTGAACGCCTCGTTTCGGAACCGGCTCCACGATGTGTTAAAGATCTTCTGTTACCTGAAGTTGGCAAGCTCTTTTCTTGAGTTGAGTGTACCATCTAGTCCCCTCCCTTCACCTCCATTTGTTCCATTTTACCTCCTCCTCACCTTCCCCTTGCCTGCCGTTGCCTTCGGGAATGTATAGGTCTCATCAAAGTCGAGCTTCCTGAATAATTGCAGAGTACGGTAGTTGGTTTGGTCATGAATGAAGTAGCGTGGTAACTTCATCTCCTACAGATGTTATGGCTAAGTTGCGGTGCGAGATCTTGCACTGTGCGCTTATCACACTAGTGCAGTGAACAAGCAAACATAGAAAGCCAAGAGACCCACCACTGCCATCCCAAGTAGGCTCATGGCAAGTGACAAAAACTGGATATACTGTATTGGGAGACTCACAATTAACTGCACAATTAGAGTAAGTATATATTTTTGTAGACCCCAAAAAACGTCCTTCCTACGCTGCACCTTCTACCCACAACTGCATCTCTTTCCGCACGTCAGCGGCTGCAAAGTCCGAAACCCGGGTGCTACTGCTTCCCCCAAGGAACGCAAACACTGCTGCAGCAGGGATCAACCGCCCACGCATCAACTTCTGCTGAGCCGAGGCCATGGTCAACTGTCCAAACACTGCGTGCTCTGCTGCTGTCGGGAATGCTGCAATCTGAACAGGAAGAACTTTGTGCATGGAAGGCACAAGAGAGTTCTGCGCGCCAAACATTTCACGCATGGGTGCAGTTGGGAACGCTGCAAGCTGAGAACGCTGCAAGCTGGGAACGCTGCAAGCTGAGAACGCTGCAAGCTGAGAACGCTGCAAGCTGAGAACGCTGCAAGCTGAGAACACTGCAAGCTGAGAACGCTGCAAGCTGGGAACGCTGCAAGCTGAGAACGCTGCAAGCTGGGAACGCTGCAAGCTGAGAACGCTGCAAGCTGAGAATTGCGCATTGAAAGCACACATGAGTTTCGAGAGCCACACGTTCCCGTGCCAGGAGGATCCTGCTGCTGCTGCTGCTGCTGGTGCTGCACCAATCCTACCTCCTCCACCCCCTCAGTCGCTTCAGCATGCAGAGGAGGGGAGTGCCACTGGCTGCGATTCATGCCACTCCCCGTGCAGCTCGTGCGCCGGGACATGTAACCCGGGCTGCTTGTATTGAAATCTGTGCTGCACGTATGGTAACTCGTGCCACAAGCAGTCGAAAAACTGTTGCTCCAGGCTTGGTCACAGGCTTGAGCAGCAGCTTGGGCAGTTGCACGAGGGGCAGGCAGCAGTGCATCCATGACAGAGGCTGGCCGCGTCTTCCCATTCACGCGCGTGTGAAGAGCGGTGGTTGTTACAGGTGGCACCAGCACAACTTGGTGGGCCTGAAAGCCAGGATCATCAGATATAGCAGCACCCAACACAGCAGCGTGCGACAGCACAGACCCCAGCAGTGCTCCCAGTGTTGCCCCTGAAGGGCCGTGCACTGACCCTTCCTCCCCGTCGCAATGGAAACCAAGGAAGAAATTCTCCCCGTTGCTCCCCACACCATGTGCGGTCTGCTCCTCCCCAGTCACCCTCCGGCCAAGATATTCCGGTAGTAGCCCCGCGTGGTTGGTAGCATTCCAACCCAGTGACGACAGCTCTTGGAGGCCTTGCTTCATAGGCAATATTGCTCCAAGCAGAGAGTCAATCTCGTCTGTCGGATCTTCCGATTCCTGATCGGCAAATCGACGGCTGTGATCTTCTTCCTGCATCTGACACCCGAGAGCCACAAGCAATGATTCCAGCGGCACCGTAGACCTCGCTGGGAAAACAGCAGCAGTGCTGTTGAGGTTAGTGGAGCAGGCATTAACGGGGATAAGCTCATCCAGCTACGGCGGGGATGAGTGGAAGAGCGTCGGCAGGGGAGATAGTGGAGGAAGGTCCCACACAGGCAGGGAAGTATACTCGGTTAACTGCTCCTGCTGACAGGGAGAGTGCAAAAGGGCTGCTGCAGCCCAATCCGCATAATCAACAGCACCATCAGCAGCACCAGCACCAGCAGCACCAGCACCAGTAGCAGCAGCAGCAGCAGCGGCGGCGGCAGCGGCGGCGGCGGTACTATCAGCAGCACTCACGTCCACGCTCCCATTCTGCAATGCCCGTGCCATGACGTTCAGAGCCCCACCAGAATCAACAGCCGGGCCATTCAGAGCTGCACCAAAATTGCTCTCACTCGCCAAGGCGTTCAGATTGCCACCGAATTCAGCAGGTCGATCAGCGTTGGACGGAGTATCGCCATCCCCAACGCATGAATCTGCGAGGTTGAAATGCCGGTCAGTGGCATGGCCGGTGGGAAGGTCTTCAGGGCTGTAAGCAGCCCTCTTGTTAGGGCGATTTGTGGCGCCGTAAGCAGGGCGCTTGTTGAAACACTTGGAGGGATGGTTACGGGGGAAGATGTGGCGCGTGGGGGGGCGGTGGATGGGGAGCAAAGGTTGGTGGGGAGGCAAGGGGTGGTTGTGGATCGTGCAGCGGTAGGTGCCTTGGATGGCGCCGGGGGAGAGCGGCTCGTTGTGGTTGCTGCAGGTGATGTCAACGGTCTTCTTGGCCGGGCAGCGCGGGTTGGATTTGACACGAGCACACCTGTAGTAGCACCTATGATGCAGGGGGGAGAGTGAGGGAGGAGGAAGGAAGGGGGAGCGGAACACGGGTGAGACGTGAAGCACGAAAGCAGCCCAGCACGGGTGCGAGCGGGACGTGAATTGCGCACTCACATGAATGTACATCTAATTCACTGACAATAGTGGACAAACGAATCCGGCCTACGTACTCCAAGCAAGTCAACGGAAGTCAAAGCGAGTCAATGGAAGTCAACGAGGCTGACCTGGTAGCAGAGGAGCCCTTGACTTGCTTTTGGCCATATTTGAGCCAGTTGTGCCCATCGGACCCCACCTGTAACTCCTACTCTACCTAACTACCGCGCATTTCCTAAGTCAACATCGAGAGAGTTCTCGATGAGAAGTGACGTGAAGGCAATTGGGAAGGTTGAGTTGGAGAGGAAGATTGGCTTGGGATTTCGAACCCTCAACCTTCAGGCTTGGAAACTTCCAACCCATCAAAGTGAAGATTGGAAAGGTTGGATTTCCAACCAATCACATTGTGCCAAATGTTGTTACAATCCATACAAAGAACCTAGCAACCATACAACACAATTAAGTTGGGTTTTCCCAACCAAACAAAGATGCCACATAGGCTCCAAGCCTAGAAGCTCCACAACCATGGAAGCCATGGTTGGAAAGAGCCCCAAGGGGTATTGTGGAAGGGGTTGAAGCTTTGAGGCTCATTCCCACTTCCCAACTCCAACTTACCAATTTGGAAATGAGATTTCTCTAAGTCATTTGGTTCTCCTAACAAGCTCTCCTACACAACTAGAATTGTGTTTACTTCAAGGACAATCTCTACAAGAAGCTACCTGCCTACTTGCTAAAGCTTCATCAACCTTCTTCAAGCTCTCTTTCTCCTCTCAAGCTTCAAGAGTATTATCAAGACTAGTTTATCCCTTTGTGGGATTAGTTTAATCTTGGGAGCCTTGTATCTTGATTTTATATATATTGTCAAGGAGGATTTATATTTAACACACGGTTGCCCTTTGTTATAAGGGCCGTGGTTGCTACACCACCACCCGTGCCATCATCTCCTCTGATGCCCGCCGCCGCACCAACTCCTGCTCGCACACCTCTTGGCTGGCCGACTGATTCTCATAGAGCGTCTCATTCTCAGAGAGTTGACGGCTAGCCGCCGAGTGCTCAGAAAGTTGACGGCTATACGTCTCGTCCTGTTGAAATCTCGCCAAGAGCCGACTCGTGCCTAGCTCGGAGGCTATTGTCATAATGGCAAATATTAGCCGCTGTTGTTGTCCCAGGAACTGCTATCAGGACAGGCAGTAGTGCTAGGAGCAGCACTAGTTTGGATTTGATAATTTCAGGCTGGGAAATGAAGGTGCAAAGATTTTCTGATGACAACGTGACCGCCCAGCAGTAGTACTACTAGGGCCCCTATTACTCGGGGTAGCATCACTAGTAGTAATCGTACTGCTACTCTCTGGTAGGAGTGTAGATGTACTGTACTGCAGAAGGAGTGATCGAGAGAAGGAGCATCAGAGCAGGCCGAAGGCCGGTCAAGCGCCGCCTCCCATTGCTCGTGTACTGTACGGTCATTGTTGATAAGGAAGGCCATTCCTGATTGGGAGGCGACCATACTCGCGGCACGGGTTTGTCTGCACCGCTGCACTGCGAAGAAAAATCCCGCTCTTGTGCATCTGTCAGCAGTGCTCTCTCACCGGCGCATGCGCGTGCTGGATAATCTCCGAGTAGCGACAAGCGGAGCGTCCATCTGGACTTGGACGAGTGGTGTGGGCCAGTCGAACATTCAAGTCACGACTTGCAAGAATTGTCGGATGCTATTCGACGGCAACGTGTTTCACTAGGGTTGTTGCGTAGTCTTGTCGTCGTGACTCGCTCGGGAATATAAGCAGAGGGCCACCCCTCGCCGAAATCAACCAATTGTATGGGAGAGGAGGGAGGGAGGGGGAATGGAGAAGGAAGGGAGGGCGATGAAGCAACTTGAGACTCACCCGTCCAAGGATACAAACCTCTGGTAGCTTCTAAATGAAAGTTGAATACACTTCTGTACCTGGCATAGACTGGGTCATAAGGGGGTGTCCGAAGTGAACGCCGACGAAACTCGTCGATTCTGTAGGGAATGCCGATGAATCTTGACGGTCGGAATGCTCGATCTGAGGGTGGAAATTCGCCGACATCCCCTGACGAAACTGTAGCATACGTCGACGTTCACTTCGGACACCCCCTAAGACTGCCTCAGTCATTAATTGTAGCAAACAAGAGGAAGTACAGTATAGTTTTCTACACGTGCTTACTGTTTGAGCGCGCGGCGCGCTGCTGATAAATACGAATTGTGCCCACCCCAGTCCAGTGGACACCGCAGTGTCCGTGCGTTGTCTGTGATAGGTAGCTTGAGCAAGCTGCGATAACACAAACGGCGTTGACGTCGCATACTGTACGCACATGCTTGCGTTGCGTCGTCTTGACAGGAATGATGAGTTGGAAGGAGAAATGATTGTCGTCCGCACAATCTTGCGCAACTATGATAGTGGGCAGACACCCATGGATGGACTACAAAAAAAGGTGGAGTTAGGACGACGAAAACAGCCCACAATCAATGTGTGTACGAATCAGATTCACTTTTAGGGTCGTATACCCTTCAGGGTCCCCTTGTGTGTAAACTCTGATTGACAGTGTTCCTAAAAAAAAAAGCCTGAAATGACAGTGTTGTGCTAAAAAAGAGACTGATCCATCAGGGTTCCACTAGTAAAAAAGCTAAAACTATTATAAAGTCTTGATTTAAAATTCAGGAGTACAGTAGCTTCCAAGAAAATAGCAGCTGCTCTTATCTAATAGGAGTCATGCATGTATCAGCATCGGAATCAGACTCATCATCACTCCCCTGCGCCTTTGGTTCTTCCCACTCCTCGAGTGCCTCCTTTCCCCTGCCACTTCCCTCCCGCTCTCTTGCTGGAGGTGTTGCCACATTGCCAAATGGCCGACGCTTCTTGTAGCTGCGCCAGATTTTCACCAGTTCGTTGTAGTCAGGCTCGTAGTCGAGGAGCGACATCGTGACGAGATCTTCAAGCCAAGCGTCTTTGAGGCTCCCACGCTGCCACGATTTGATGATATTCTGGCGGGAAAACCCGCGCTCACATTCCACTGTGCTCAGCGGCAGCACTGCGACAGCCACCCAGAGACGCACGAGGTTGGGGTAGCTAGTCGTCCAATCGCTTGTCTTCAGCATCGCTGTTAGCCCGGAGTGGAAGCTTCGCTCGTTATTCGGGGCACCTGCGAGGATGGGGCAGAAGGCACGCAGTTCTTTCATTGCCCGCAGTTTGTCGATCCCTGCCACACAAAACAGAAGGGAAATTGCCAGCTAGATTGGGTGGCTTGGCATGGTATACACGTGTATGCATGGCACTGTTGAAACATAGGAACAAAGAGAATCATGGACAACAAGGGTGCACAAAATGCGAGTACCTGGAAGGATGTGGTCAGTCTCCTGTGCCCTAAACAGCGAGACGAGTGACATGAGCCACTCGACACACTGTTTTTGGCACTCCGCTCTCCCAGGCGGGTACTCGTCTGGCATGAAGAGCCTCACTCCCACCAGGTTGTCCAAGTCTTCAAACCTCTTGCTGAGGTTACTGACGAGCGTCTCGGCAAATGCTGTGCAGAGATCGACGCAGGCGTCGTGTGTTCCCAGAGTTGGGTAGTCCTCGCTTGGGTTCTCATGCAGTTGGAACTTGTGTGTAGTCGGCCGACCGTCAGAGTCCACACCCTGCACCGTCACCTCGGGCTTGTCACTGTCAGGCCCGTACTTCAAGATGAACGGGGACAGGCACGCACTCAACCCGCCTCCAAAATCGTCGCCGCAGTCGACGTAGCGGGTCTCCAGGTGAGACATGGTTCTCCTGATCTGCGCATGGACACATGCAATGTCAAGCTATGAGAGGGCGACAGAAATAACACAGAGGGACACAAGGAAAGCGAGCCGGGGGGGTGATTTATCAAACAATATGTATTGTGCTTAAGCTCCCACAATATAAATGCATTAACATACACGCAAAGAAGTCACGCATACAAGAACTAGACATCATGAGAAGTGCAGCACACGCTGAAAGGACTTGTTGCTCACCTCTCGCTGTTGGAAGGACTTGTTCAAGATGTTCAGCTGCTCGAGCACGTCTGCAAGGAAGAACAACAAGAAATGGAACCTGTAGCTGGTGGCGAGCTGGTACAGAGTTTTGTCCCACTCAGACAGCATGACGATGAGCGCAGGGAAGACCGTCACCGTTCGCAGAATGGCATCACCCCTGGAGAGCCAGCGGACTTGATGAATGCCTTGAAGCTCCAGATTCGTAGCCGTGAAGAGTTCCTGCAACTCCAAAAATCGTTGGTGCCAGGGGCTGGAACGGTCGAGATACTCTGCGACTTGACGGATCAGCCCGTCCACCATGTCGAACTCGGGGATTGCATCCGCTGCATCTTTTGCCGCGAGGGCCTCCCTGCAGGCACATCACAACACAAATATGCAACACGGGGTATCAGCAAGGCCGAGATACAGATAATCCGGATTGGCGCTAGTACAAAAGCGAACGTACCTGTGGGCTATGCAGTGGCTTGAGACAAGATGCGGTATGCGGAGGCGCAGTCGAGCGACAAGACCATTCTTGCTTCCCATCATCACACTCTCGCCATCGGTGCTCATACCGGCGATCTTGGCAAGCTCGATGCCGAGGGCCTGCAGGTGGGACACAAACACGTAGAGTAGAGAGGCGGCGTCGCACTTCTCCACGGTCAGAAGGGCAAGGAACTCGGTGACGACGCGATTCTCCCGGATGAAGGTCGCGAATATGATCATGTGCTTTCCCCGACACCTGTCCGTGCTCTCGTCACATGTAATTCCGATGTAAGTGTGAGAAGGATTTGACGAAAGAATGGATGAATTAGGAAATGAGAAGGGTACAAGTAGGAAACACATAAGTGTTGTACCCTCTAAGGACTACCCCACTACAGCCTAAACAGACTATAGTAAATATATGTTTGACACACCCCCATAGGCAAAGTGGGGGAGAACAAGGGGTCACAAGACCAGTCAAGAAAGACAAAGCAATCTCAGGGTGGATCACAAAGTCACCACACAGTCTGAGCACAAGCAA